ATATATCATTCTTTACCTCTGGCCCACTTAGTCTGGCATCACTTTTGAAGCCCTCTTGTAGATGATTATAGTGGACTGATGTGCTAAACATATAATGTCACTGAATTGCATATGTGATGAATTTCCCCTGCAAATAATTTTTTACATATGGTATGTACCACACTGAAAATTATATTTATTTAAAAATATGAAATGACACAATACTGTTGAATATCCACATCATGGTGACTTAACACTGTCCTCATGATTACTGGATTGTTGGTTAACTGAGTCTCAGCTGATCTGAGTTGAACTCATGGAAACACAGTTTGAAGTATGATCTGAAGATTTATTGGCCAGTTGAAACAACTGCTTGTAGTTTCAGGTTTAGTTCAGATTTATTTTACTTAACTCTGATTCCAAGAGGGTCATTTGAAGTAATAGGGTAATCTGACTCACATCCCTACTCCCACCCCGAGGATATGGAAGCTCTCAGAGGGATAAACAAAAACAAGCAAAGTCTTATACCTAGTTTCCAAAGACACATCATATCTGACCACATGTTATGGAAGTCACACAAAGTAAATATTGGTCAGGTAGGAATATAGCCTGTTTCCATGTAAGTCATTGTATGTCTGTGAGAAGTGAGTATCTGCTGAACTGTAACATCGTGATATCAAAATGACATTATTGCTAATTGCTGTTGAGTCACTTCAAACTCATGGTGACCCTAGAGTAGAACTGCTCCTTGTATAAACTTTGTTGTTGTTGTGAAGTGCTGTCAAGTTGGTTCTGACCCATAGTAACCCTGTATAGGGTTTCCAAGGAGCAGCTGGTGAGCTTGAACTGCCAGCCTTGCAGATCACACAGCTTGGCATTCTGGCGCATTAACCCACAGTGCCACACCAGCAGGCAATATTCACAAAACAGTTTGCTGGGAATTTTGTTAAATCTGTAGATTAAGTTGGGAAGCCATGACATGTTAATACTACTGAGTCTTCTGAACCACAAAAATGGATGTCCATATATTTATTTTTATCTTTGATTTCTTTCATCAAAGTACTTCCCATATAGAACTTACAGAAATTTTGCTAGAGTTATAACTAAGTATGGAGTCCTGGTGTGGCGCTGCAGGATAATGCTCTAGACCTCAAGATCTGTTTGAACTGCAAGGTTAGTGATTCAAACCTACCAGCCACTCCTCAGATACACTATACAGGGTTGCCATGGGTTGGAACCAACTCCACAGCGCTTAATAACCATAGCATGGGGTCTAATGTGGCACTATAAGATAAGCCTGGATTGCAAATCAAAGGGTTGCTATTCAAACCCACTAGCAGTTCCTCTGAAACCCTATACAGGGTCACTATGAGTCAGAACTGCCTGAGTGATATTTAACAATGACATACCTCAGTATCTCTTGTCATTTTTTGAGGCTCATATAAATGATGCTATGTTTTTAGCTTCAAATTTGAGTTGTTTGTTACTGGTATAAAGAAAAGCAAGTGACTTTTTATATTTTAACCTTATAACCTACAACCCTGCTATAATTGCTTATTACTTCCAGGAGGATGTTTTGGGTCAGTTCTTTGAAATTTTCTACATAGACAATCATATCATCTGCAAACAAAGTCAGTTTTTTGTTTTCCTTTTCAATCTATACACTTTAATTTCCCTTTCTTGTCTTTTTCCACTAGCTAGGATTCCTATATATATAGTTGAATTGGAATGGTGAGAGAGGGTACCCTTGCCTTGTTCTCTATTTTGAGGGGAAAAGCATCAAGGTTCTGATTATTAAATAGGCTGCTGTCTGCTGTTGCTTTTTGTTTTATTTTAGGTATTCTTCATCAGTTTGAGGAAGTTCCCCTCTATTCACAGTGTGTTGAAAGTTTTTATTGTGGATAGGTTCTGAGCTTAGTCAAATACTTTCTCATTATTTGTTGATATGAATATATGATTTTTCTCCTTTAGTGTTGAATTTCATGAATCACCATAACTGATTTACCATATGAAAATTTGGCAAATTTTCATATGGTAAATCAATTATGGTAATTCATGACATTTAAAGACTAAAGGAGAACCAGGTTTGTATTTGTGGAATAAACCCCACTTGGTCATGGTGCAAATCTATTTTTCACATTGTTGAAGCTGATTTGCTCATATTTTGTTGAGAAATTTTATCAGTGTTCATGAGAGATATTGACATGTTAGGGTTCTGTCTTGTTATCTTTGTTTGTTTTGGGTATTGTTATAATACTGACGTCACAGTATGATTTAGGGAGTAGACTCCCTGATTCTATTTTCTGGAAGAGATTATAAATAATCAATTCTTCCTCAGTTTTTGGTAGTGAAATTGTGGGACTGATGCTTCATTTGTTGAAGTCATTGGTTATTGAATACATTTTGTTAATAGATCAATACCTATTCCAGGGATCTGTGTGTCATCAAAAGACACAATCTACCAGAATTGTGCACAGGAAAACACAGATCGCTAGAAAAGGGAGGGGTAACCAGAGAAGAGGAAGATCCCCAATGTGATGGTGTGACAATGGCAGCAACCATGGGCCCACACATAACAGTAATTGTGAGAGTATGTGTAAAGTTGCTGTGATTCCGAACTGGCGTGAGGGCAAGAAATTATAGTCTTTGTAATTCCCAACAAATGAATGAATAGGGCAAATTGTGTAAGGTGTTTTTGATCCAATCAGGAGATTGGCCAGTTTGCTATCCAGTGTAACTATGATACCTGGAACTCCTTTGAAGGTGCTGGTGTTGCTGGTTATGTTCTGGGAGTAAACTATGACTCATACAGATCCTGTACAGGGTTTCCGAGACACTAAATCTTTACAAGCGGATGTCCTCTTCTTTCTCCCGAGGGGCAACTGGTACATATGAACTGCTAACCTTGTGGTTAACAGCTTAACTTGGAACTCACTATGCTACCAAAACTCCTTATAAAGGTTGTTGTTGTTAAGTACTATGAGTCAGTTTTGACTCTTAACGATCCTATATATAGTTTCCGAGGAACAGCTGGTGGGTTTGAACTGCTGACCTTATGGTTGGCGGTCATTGTCAATAAGTGCTGTCAAGTCTGTACCGACTCTTAGCGACCTTGCATAGGGTTTCCATGGAGCAACTGGAGAATTTGAACCACCTACCTTGCAGTTTAAACTGACCTTGTGGTCCAGGGCATTATCCCACAGTGCCTTGTAAATAAAGTGTGTGGAATCCTAATGTGGGGATTGATCAGGTTTGCCATCGTACTACACTTATAATGAGGCCGCGCAGAGACAGAAACAGTGATCCCACTACAATCAATAAAGAAAAGCCTGGAGTCGAACCCACCCTTTGGACCCAAGAGCCTTGTGTTGAACATTCTCAATCCGGAATACAGAGTGTCATGACACCAGAGATGACAAAAGACAAGCGAAGTCATGGCATAGAACCGGACTAAGCAGAGGCAATGAAGCAGGATGTAGCAGGAGACAGAGCAGTGGGCTTCTTAGTCCCGCAGAGACAGAAAAGTGAGTGCCTTCAGGTAGCTTTGTTGGCAGAGTGCTGTGCCTCCCGGCTCTTGCCTGGCGGATTAGGTTTGCCGTCCAGTGAGTGAGAATTGAACAATGAAGGCTGCGTATGAGAATGATTCAAGATGAAGGGGAAGGCTGTGAATGGTTTTTCTTGGGTGCAATAAAATGGTAGAATTTATTGCCTTTACAGTAATAAACCATGTTCTTTGAGTGTGGAAAAATAATATGTTAAACTCTGCATTTTAGAAAGATAATTCTGATAAACAGTCTAAAATGGTTTAATACCCCTGTGCACAGATAAAGGTGTGGGTTACTTGTTTCTCTTTTTTAATCTATGCCTGATTTCTTCTTTCTTTCCATTCTTCATGGACCCACTATCCTGAAAAAAATACTCCTTTCCTAGACAGTTACTTGAAAACGTGAATACCTTTTATGCCAGACATAGTTCTACCACTTAGCTTCCAAATTTTTCATCTGAAATTGTTAATTTCTGGCAATTTGGCAGGCTGCATATTTTGGTTTGTTAAAATTTCTATTTTCATTTGTTTCTCTCTCTTTCTTTTTTTTCAGTGTGCTCGGTATGATAATGCCTTTATTACCGAGGTCCTGATTGACAGAGGGGTCAACGTGAACCAGCAGGATGAAGATTTGTGGACCCCAATGCACATTGCCTGTGCTTGTGATAACCCTGAGATTGTTCTGCTGCTAGTATTAGTAAGTTAATCATTTCAGTCTATTTACTGTTGAAATTGGTGCTGACCTTGTTATGGGCTGAATTGTGTCTTCCTAAAAGGTGTTGGAAATTCTAAACTCCTTGCTTGTGCATATAATTCCATTTGGCAATAGATTGTCTTTGTTATGTTAATGTACAAGATTAATGTAGAGTATATCTGAAATCACACTCATTTGAAATATAAAAGAGATTCAGCTATCAAACAAGAGAAGCAGAAATGGGGTTAATGAGATGCCCCACTGCATAAAGATCTCCCTGGAGCAGAAACTTCAAGAGACAAGGGCCCTTCTCCACAGTCCACAGAGAGAAAAAGGTATCTTCCCCAAGACCTGGGGCCTTGAATGTGGAACTCTAGCCACTTAAGCTGTGAGAAAATAAATATGATTGTGAAAGCCATCATTTGTGGTATTTCTGTTATAGCAGCACTAGGTAACTATGACGACTTATAAAAGGTTATATATTTAATGGTAACAATTCACTACTTATAATCATTTGATTGAGAAAAAAATATGTGTACCTGCCTTAGTAATCTGTCTGGAGCACCAGATCACTATAGACTAATGTTGAGGCCACATAGTTCATAAAACAAGTTCTCTAGATGGCACACCAAGTTGTAGTCTTCGTGCCTTTCTGTGAAAATTACATATCTCAATCAATGGCAAGTCATTTCTAACTAGAATGATATTATCTTTTTTCAAATTGTTATTTCAATTTGCTTCACATTATGATTGTTTGCTGTATAGATATGCAATTATGAGGAACTATAGCTTAGATGAGATTATCATTTTTCGGTATGGATGTTTGCTTTTGTTAAGTATCCTTGAGTCAGTTCTAACTCATAACACCCTGTAGAAGATTTTGTATGTCTAGTAATGAAAACTCCACAATATTTGCTTATATAAAGAAAAATTTTACATGTAAAAGGTACTGCAAGTTTTATATTTACTTTTAATTTTTAGTTACAATTTACACCCATGGCAATTATCCTCACATATATATAAATTATTTTGGAATTAAATTGATTTTTCGTGGTTAATTTGTCTTTGGAGTTTTTAAGAAATGATGTAGTATATTTTAAAGGAAATGTAGGAATCTAAAAGGAGCTCTTGTAGCTTAGTGGTTAAAACTCGGGCTGCTAACTTCAAGGTCAGCAGTTCGAAACCACCAGCAGTTCCGTGGGAGAAAGATAAGGCTTTCTGCTCCCGTAAAGATTTACAGCCTCGGAAACCCTATACAGGGTCACTTTAAGTCAGAACCAACTCCACAGCACAGAGCCACCACCAACAGTAAGTAATAGATGATATTTTCTTTCTTCTTTTTAATGAAGAAAAAGAATCCAATTCCCTTATTATTTCCAGGAGCCCTGGTGGTGCAGTGGGTTAAATTTGGGCTGCTTACTGCTGGGTGTTCTATTCACACCTACCAGCTACTCCATGGGAGAAAGATAAGGCTGTATACTCCAGTAAAAGTTTATAGTCTCAGAATCCCTAAGGAGTCGTTCTACTCTCTGCCCCACAAGGTCACTGTGAGTCGGAGCTGACTCGATAGCATGATATGCCTGGCCTTTAATATGAAGTATCTCACATAGCCCTCAACATTTGACAAAGGAATTGATGCTTAGCAATAAGAAACAGTACCAGCCCCCAAACAAACAAAAAACTGGATTTGAACTCAAGATCATTATCCTCATAGTTCATCTTTCTCTGAACTATGCTACCTTTGTTGTTGTTGTTAAGTGCCGTCTAGTTGGTTCCGACCCGTTCCCGAGGCTGTAAATCTTTACAAGAGCAGAAAGCCTCATCTTTCTTCTGCGGAACAGCTGGTAGTTTCGAACCGCTGACCTTTTGGTTCGCAGCCTGATTCTTGTTGTTGTTGTTAAGTGCCGTCGAGTCGGTTCCGACCCATAGCGACCCTGTACAAGGTTTCCGAGGGTGTAAATCCTTACGGGAGTAGAAAGCCTCATCTTTCTCCCGCGGAGCGGCTGGTAGTTTTGAACCGCTGACCTTAAGGTTCACAGCCCGATTCGTAACCACTACGCTTAGAGATGCTATAATATTACCACTAACTTGGTACTGAAAACAATAGACCTTCATTCCCTCACAGTGCTGGAGGTTAAAAGCCAGAAATCAGTGTTGTGGCAGGGTCTCTCTTGCTCCCTTTGAAAGCTCTGGAGAAGAGTCCTACCTGATCTTTTCCTACTTCCTGTGGTCCTGAACTGTTGGGTTTTCCTTGGTTTGTAGCAGCTTCACTACAGTCTCTTCCTCCATCAACACATCTCCTCCACCCCTATTTTTTTTTGTTTTCTTTTTCTGAGGAATAGAAAAATAAATTTTATTAAGAAGATGGTGACTATATTGTTATTTTTAAGTGCTGTCAAATCAGCTCCAATGCTTCGCTACCTTAAACAAAATTATATTTGCATATGATATTGACAGTGCTGTTTGATCATTTCTGTAATCTGTTGGGTTATCTTTCTTTGGAATGGACACAACTATAGATCTCTTTGAGCCTGCTAGCCAGACAGATGTCCTCCAGAATTTTTGGCATAGACTAGTTCTTCCTGTGCTGTATCAGTTTCTTTTTAATTTTTTTTATTTTAACTTTTCATTGTAATTGAATGAAGATTTACAGACATCATCGGCTTTACACTCAACAAATCACACACTTGGTTTCGTTTCAGTGATTACAATCCCCTGCATGCAACAGCAGTTATCCCACTTCCTCCCTGTGGATCCTATGTGCATTCAGCCCACCTTCCCATCCCTTCTTAATTTTGTTCTTAGAAAAATTTTGGACTTTTAATTTTGAATGAATGACCATTCTGTCATGAGCATACTTGTCCCCTACTATAGTTGCCCAGTTTCTTGAAACATTTCTGATTGTATTCTGTTAATTTCTGGAGCTTTGTTTTTCTCCAACGCCTTCAGTGTACCTTGGATGTCTTCCTTCTTCAACACTTTTAGCTCTTGATCATATGCGACTTTCTGAAATGATTGAACATCGACCAATTCTTCTAGCTACTCTATTTTTTTAAATGTTTGATTGTTAATTATGTGATAGTTTACATGGGAGAATATTAGCTTTACATTCATCCTTTCGTATATCGTTTCATTGCCATGGTTACAATCCCCTCCGTGCATCATCAGCCTAACAAAGGGTATACACTGCAAGCCTGGTCAACAGCACACAGCCCCTCTCCCTCTCTGTGTCTAAAGTCCCCAACTGCTCCATCTCTCCCTGTCATCATCTCTGCCTCCATCTTAGGCATCATTGCTTCTCTGGGTAGGGTCCCGCTCTCAGCTCTTCTCATGGTCCCAGGGACCTCCGCTCCTAGACTGAAAAGTTAATCACTCCCCTCCTTGCTACAAAATGTCTACCTTTACATTTCAACCCTCACAATCAGACCTGATAACAATTATTCACTGTCCTATCACAAGAGACCTATGCCCATTTCCTTTCATCAGCCCCACCCAGACAGATTAGATAGTACTCAGTGGAGAGTCTACCTTCCTCCACCCCCACTGGATCTAGGTTCCCTCTTGAAAGCTTGTAAGCCAGTCAGTCACTCCTTGCCTTTGTAGGCAGCCCCCCATCCCCCATTTTGGACAGCCAATGTCCAAGTTGCCCATCCCTGTCTACTCTGTGTATGGAGTGGGTGGGAATGATCCTTGCTTTAAGAATTTGTTCCCTCTTTTGAGCCACTGCATCCATAGGTGTAGGTCAGGTTCATCAAATTGTATCAGCTTACTCTTTTGTTCCTCTTCTTTCTTCTTATAGTTGAGCTCTGATAATCCAGCCATTGAAACCAGGTCAAGTGGGTATTATCTGCAAGTGTGGGTGTTCTTGTGCATATGCCCTCTCTTCTTATCAGCTGGACACTTCACTCTCTACTCTAGTCCACTGTGGCTATATCACTGACTCTGGGCCCAAGAGTCCCCAGGTCTTGCTACACTGCTGGCCAACCAGGTCTCCACCCAGGTTCACAGGAGTCTATTGAACATTGCATGGCTTAGCTTGCCGCTTCATTGCTGTTTTTCCCTCACTTCCCCTTATCGGTGACGAATGTGGTCATCAATCAGAGCGTGTATTCCCATTGAGTCTTAGTCTTGGTAGGGAGATTGCTCTGAGGGAACCTGACCACTTGCCTTGATGTCTCCTGGACAAGTAACTAGCTTATTCTTGTAGTAACAGTCGGTCTGCCTATATTGTTTTGTATTTTTCCTGTAGGTCTTTCTTTCAAGAAGTATCTTCTGTTATTCTAGACTCTCCAGTGTCTATTTTATAATATAATGCAAGGAAAACCAAGATTCAAAAAACAGCCAAGCATCTTAACATTATTTCCCCCCTTTTCCCTGTTCCAACCATGTCTCAATCCTTGTATCCCAGAGCCCTGTTGTTCCAAGGTTGTGCATACATTATTATTTACCTCTGGCCCACGTAACCCATTCAGAGCTGCCTAATTGTTCTCCCATCTGCTCTGTTTTTCTATTTCCCTGTCCCTTCTTATATATTGCCCCCCTGCCCAGCACCCAAACTATCCTGTGTCTATTCCCTGCTCTGTTGTCCCCCTCTTTTTAAAAATTATGAGCAGATGAAAAACAATGAATTTGGACTTCCTTAATCTTGTTAACAGAGCCCTGATGTGGTGCTGCAGAATAAAGCACTGGGTCACAAAATTGGTTTGAATTTTAAGATCAGTGGTTCAAAGTCACCAGCCACTCCTCGGAAATCTTATAAAGGATTTCTATGAGTTGGGATCAACTCAAAGGTACTTAACGACAACAAAGACAATCTTATTAACAGGTTTAATTTATTCTCATTGTATCTGAATTGGTTTGTTGTTGTCATTGTTTAGTTTTGTTAGGTTTCATTCTGCACAGTAGAACTGTAAGCACTGAAATGTGTTTCTCCCAAGTCCTTGGAGATGAATGCTATATTAAATTAATAAGGAAAGACAAAAGAAACAAATATTGCTTAGTTT